CCAGGAAGCGGAATATGGTGGGCATGATCAGATAGATCTGTATGATGATGTCATCTCCCCATCTGCAAATAATGGAGATGCTCCAGAAGACCGGGATTACATGGATACCCTCCCGCCAACCGTTGGCGATGATGTGGGAAAAGGAGCAGCACCCAATGTTGTCTATACGTATACTGGAAAGAGAATTGCATTATATATTGGAAATCTAACTTGGGTGAGTAAACTTAAGGATTAAATTATTACTAATTGATTTTGAACTACTCTAGTAAGTCGTGTGTTTGGAGTTTTAACATAAAAAATTTGAAGTTACTGTATTTGTGTTTGATGAGCAAAAACAGGTACCTTTAGTTTCAAGTGTATTTAAATTTTGTGTCCTTTCATCTCACCTTTGTAGACATACCGTTATGTGTAACTTGTATTTGTCCGGGTTGTTCTTTGTGTTACTACTTCCTCACTTCAGGTACTTCAGTTTTACTGAGAAAAATGTTCACATAGGGTTTCAAACCAGGATTCAGGAGACAAAAACCACTCCTGGTCTTAAAATGTTCATTTTCTAATTTAGAATACAGACTTAAGTTCCATATTTGCTGTGTTTAAAATCTGACTTACAAAAATACATGTCAAGTGTATCTATTTATATTGCCACTAAACCTGTAATATTTACTAAAGCAACCCTATAGAATTTTTCCTCTCTACTATTAGATATACTTGAAAGTTTAAAATTATAGCTCTAAAAGTCAAGACTCAACACTTTCCTACTTTGTTAGAAGCATTCACTTATTTTTTATTCAGTACAGGGGTTTAACCCAGGGTCTCACACATGCTAGGCAAGCACTCCTCTGTTGGGCTACATCTTCAGCTCTTTTTATTTTGAGACAAATTCTTGCTAAATTACCCAAGTTCTTTGTGCCTCGGCCTCCCAAAGAGGGATTACAAGTGTCACCCTGTGCCTAACTAAAAAACATTTTACTTACAAACTTTTTTTTTTTTTTAAACTAAGGGCCATCTTACCACAAAGCAGTCTGAGCAATCTTTGGAAACAGTAGCAATGTATTTATGAAAATGTAATTGCTAAATAAGTTAAACCTTAGTTCTGTCATCTGTTTTGTGACTTAGTTGTTTGCTGTATTTCATCTTGTGTCAAGGGAAAGTAATAGGGCTTGCAGCATTTTAAGAGCTATGTAGTTGATGTAAAGTACATAGTAGGTACTCAATACATGTTAGGTTTTGTCTTTCCATTTTATGTTCAAGGATAAGATGAAATTTATTTCACAGTATTTTCCTTTAAAGGGAGGAAGTGACAAGTGAGATTGGTTTTATTGAGAATTTAAAATCGTAGCAGTTTAAAGCTAGAAGAAACCAGAAAGTCTTAAAAGTAAAAATCTATCTTATCTCTGAGGGTATGTACTTTCCATTTCCAAAACTCTTATCAGGGGATGAAGTTAGGGTCTGTGATGCTTTTGTGGTGTTTTAAAAATTGGAGGCATGAGTCCAGGCGTGGTGGTACAGGCCTGTAATCTCAGCACTTGGGAGGCAGAAATCAGGAGGATCACTGTGAGTCTGGGCTGTGTAGTGAGACCCTGCACCAAAAAAAAAAAAAAAAAAATGGAGGCTGACTACTAGTAATTATGCATAAATTTACACTAAGCAGTAATTTTATCTTGAGCTTACCTATAAAAGCTACATTCAAGCAATAAAAATTCTGAATGTTCAGTGGTTAATAAAGGCAACATGTCTTACAGTGGACAACAGATGAAGACTTAACTGAAGCAGTTCATTCTTTGGGAGTAAATGATATTTTGGAGATAAAATTTTTTGAAAATCGGGCAAATGGCCAATCAAAGGGGTAAGAATTTGTGTTTCTAATATGTTAGTAGCTGTTGATTGTAATTTTAAAGTGAATTTCCCCTGATGTTGATGGTAATTACAAACATAGGACACTTGATTACATTGGAGGATCTCAGGCAGAAAGATCATACTCTTTGTTTTCAGACATACCTTATTATTTAGCACTGTAAAGCCAGTGGCATTGGGGTGTGGACCAAGTAGGCCTGTTTCCCACTTTTCCTGCATTTTCTCCATCAGTGGTTGAAATGAGTTAATAGGTGTAGTAGTCTGCCTATGGCTGAGGGAAAATGGAAACTGGAGGACAATGTGAGTAACCTGGATGTTTTGCTTTTTACTTTTGATGATGAAACCCTACGAGGTAGGATAATATGGGACCATTATAAAAGTACAGATATCCAAAAGTAAGAAAATAAAATAATGGCACCAGTTGAACCAGCTACACATTGTCACATACATTTAGTATATAGTGTTGTTTTTGATACTGGAACTCCAGCCCAGGAACTTGCACTTGCCAGGCAGGTGCTGTGCTAACAAGCTACATCCCCGGCTTTATCTCCAAATATAGTTTATGTATCCACTTTATTTTTTGGGTTTTCCTTTAAAAATTGTATTACAATTTGCATGTTTTTATTTTATTTTTTGGCGGAACCAGGGTTTGAACTCATTCCCTTGAGTTTGCCAGGGAAGCACTTATTCCACTGACCCATCTCCCCGGCCCCTACATGTTTTAATTTTTATTATTTATTTTTTGGCGGAACCAGGATTGAACTCAGGCCCTTGCGCTTGCCAGGGAAGGGCTTATTCCACTGAGTCACCTCCCTGGCCCCACCATGTATGTTTTTTTTTTTTTAATTTTTATTTTGTGTGTGTGTGTGTGGCCAGCTCAGCCCACCAGGGCACCGGGCTGGCTGGTATGTGGTACTGGGGGATTGAACTGCGGTCCCTGTGCTTTGCCAAGCTTGTTCTAAGTAGGTGCTTTAGACCACTGAGCCATCTCACCAGCCCCCACCCTGTATGTTTTTAAAAGATTTGATAGAGTGGAACTAATATTTAGTAATACCCATTTTCCCTTATTTTTTGCTACTTTGCTTATTTTCACTTTTGCCTATCATAAATAATGTTGCAGCAGGTATAGTTTCATATAAACCTTGAGTTAGGTCAGTTGTTGTATTTTTTTCAGTACTAGAGATTGAACCCCTTTTTTAAAGTTTGTGTGTAGAGACAATTTTTGTTTCGACAGTTCTCCTGAAGTTACTTAAGTTACCCAGGCTGGGTTCAGACTTGGATCTTTTGCCTCAGCCTCCCAGCGAGTTAGCCTCCCAGGCATGTACCATCATACTGGGCTAGGTTTTTTTTTTTCCCGAGTGAAAAATTACGATGCAGAATTCTCGTACAGATAAATTAGATATAAATGATAAAAAGTACGGTCACTTTATATTGTTTTGCCTTCCCAGTCACTGTCCTTCCTCATCTGGAAGGAAGTCTTTGCAGCAGCTGCGCCTGCTGCCGCCCTGATGATCTCCTGGGGCCTGTCAGGTCCACATAAACGTTTTTCAGGTTTTGCTTTTTGTTTTTAAAGGTAATTCCAATATTGTGCTCGGTATCTTCAGATGGCGTTATCTAGTGTGATCTGGAATTGTTTCCTTACCTCCTCTACTGTGCCACTCTGTTTTGACCATGTTAGTCTCTTATCATTTCTCCAACAAATCCTTGTTAGAACCTTAGCTACTAGAGCCTTTGCTTTACTCTTCTTTTTCCAGAATTACCTATCCACACGGCTTTTTCTCTTTTGGAAGGGTCTCTCATTTGGTCTTGCTCAGGTAGGCCCTGAACTCACACCCCCAGGGTTGGGATCAGCCAGTGGCAGTGCCCTGCTCCGTGGCTCGCTCTTTACATCGTTCAGGACTCACTGTTGTAAGAATGTTCTTTTCCCAGTACCCCGTGTAGACATCAGCCTTCATAATCTGTCTCTTAAGTTCGTTCGTTTGTTCTCTCTCTCTCTTTCTCTTTCTTTCTTTCTTTCTTTCTTTCTCGTTCCTTCCTGGATTGTAAACTTCCAAGAGCAGGGATTTTGTTTTGATTGATACCAGCTTTACAGTATTTGAGAATGGGAGATAATGTTCTGAGAATAATTGTTAAATGAAATTTTTTTTCTGTCTTTGCTGCTGGGGATTGAACCTATGGCCTTGTTTATGCTGAGTGGATGCTTTACTATTTAGCTCTAACACCAGCTCAATAAAGTTATTTGTGAATATTGTAGTCAGATATTCTGTGCTTACATTTGCTGAGTAAATAAGGGATCTAGTTGAGGATCATATTGCATATTAGAGAAAAAAAGATTCTCACCTCCTAAGAGGCCCCCAGTAATCTAGATTATGCTGTAATCATATTGATAATTTAGTTTTTCAGTTATCTTTTTGGGATATAACACATGCACCATAAAATTCATCACTTGAAAGTACGCATTTCAGCAATTTCTAGGAAGCTCACAGAGATGAGCCCCCTTCACTGCCACCCTATTTCAGAACATCTCATCACCCCCAAGAGAAACCTTGTGCCCATGAGCACTCCCTGGGCTACCCTCTTCTTTGCTGAGAACCACTGATGTCATTCTGTGTTTGGCTTTGCTTCTTCTGGATACCCTGCTTGTTCATTTCTTATAAATAAGAAATCATTTAACACAGTCTTGGTGCCTGGCTTGTTTCACTTAACATGTTTTCAAAGTTTATCTGTGTTGCAGCAGATTTCAGCCTTTTATGGATAATTCCCCCATTATATGAATGTAATATAATGAAGGTTTTTTTTTTAATTTTGTTTTTAAATCCATCATCCATTAGATGATGAGCATTTCGATTCCTGCTTTGTAGTTAAGGAATATATCCTATAGATGTTGTATTTACTACCAGTTTTGTGTGAATGTTTATCTTTGGTTTTGTTGGGGAGGTATATTTACGAATAGAATGAAATAGTGACTTTAACAGTTTAAGGAACTGCGAGTTAGCGATACTGTTTTTTGTTTTTGTTTTTTGGCAGAACCGGGGATTGAATTCAGGCCCTTATGCTTGCCTGGGAAGTGCTTATTCCGTTGAGCCATCTCCCCGGCCCCAGCGATACTGTTTTACATGCCCGTCATTAATACATGAGAGTTCGAGTTTTTCCACTTTATCACCAACACTGTTTTTATGACTATTGTAGCTATCATAGTGTAAAAACAAACCAAATGCCTCTGAACTGATGGATGTGGTTTTAGAAAATATGGTATGGCTGCCATGGAGTATTATTGCTCAGTCATAAAAAGAAATGAAACAGTGATACATTTAACATGGATGCACCTTTAAAATACTGTGCTAAGTAAAAGAAGCTGGTTGTAAAAGAGGACATAGTGTATAAACCTATTCACATGAAATTCTGGAATAGGCAAATCCATAGAGATAGCATCAATTCCCTAGAGTTGAGAGTTGGAAGGAAATGGGAGTGATGGCTGCTGGTAATGGGGCTTTTTTTTTTTTTTTTTTAAATATTTATGTATTTATTTTGTGTGTGTGTGGCCAGCTCAGCCCACCATGGGGCGGGGGCTGGCTGGCATGTGGTGCTGGGGGATTGAACCGCGGTTCCAGTGCTTTGTTTAGCTTAGCTTGTTCTAAGTAGGTGCTTTAGACCACCGAGCCATCTCATCAGCCCAATGGGGCTTCTTTTGAGAGAGATGAAGTGTTCGAAAATTGACTGATAATTGTAGAAGTATTGAATATATTGAAACTATAGAAATTGTGATTTTAAATAAGTGAATTTTTGTATTACTATATATTGTACATTTTCATTATCCGTTAATAAGATATGAGATTATGAACTTGTAGTTTTATAAAGTATTTTCTGGGCATTTAAGATAAAATAAATTTAGATCATTTCTTTTTAATGATGTAACTATTAATTCCTCCTCAACTTTCTGCCTCCACCCTTTAAACACATCTTAGATTTGCACTTGTTGGTGTTGGATCTGAAGCATCTTCCAAAAAGTTAATGGATCTTTTGCCCAAAAGAGAACTTCATGGCCAGAATCCTGTTGTAACCCCGTGCAATAAACAGTTCCTGAGTCAATTTGAAATGCAGTCCAGGAAAAGTAAGCAATTTCTCAGAGGCCTTTTTAAAAGATCTTACATTTTAACCAATATTGCTTGTATTTGTTCAGTGTTATGCTGGGGAGCTCACTTATTTAATGTGTATATCTAATAGTTCATTAGAGGTTCTTTTTTCCCTTTCTTTGAAAGTCCTTGCTATCACTTGATTTCATCATTGGTTGTGACTGTGGACCCAGGTCCTGGCCCCTGGTCCTGTTCCGTTTTTCTTTAATTCCCATAGTCCCAACACTATATGTGGGTGTGTGTAAGTTCTTTATTGCCACTGTTTTTGTCCTGTCCTTCCCATCTTAAAGGAAGAAAGAAACATTTTAGTTATCTTGTAGGAAACCTGTGTGGGCTGGGGAGTGACTACTGATAATCAGAAAAAAATTGTTGGTTTTCTGGTTGGCACCAAGACTTGTTTTGTTTCTTTTTGGTTTTTTGAGACAGGGTCTCGCTATTTATTTATTTTTTTTTATTTTTATTTTTTTTATTTTTTAAATTTTTTTTTTTAATTATTTATTTATTTTAACATTTATTTAGTGTGTGTGTGTGTGTGTGTGGCCAGCTCAGCCCACCAGGGGGCGCGGCTGGCTGGCATGTGGTGCTGGGGGATCGAACCGTGGTCCCTGTGCTTTAGCCAAGCTTGTTCCAAGTAGGTGCTTTAGACCACTGAGCCATCTCTCCAGCCCAGGGTCTCGCTATTTAGTTTAGACTGGCCTTGAACTCACTTTATAGCCCAGGCTGGCCTCGAACTCGCAGTGATCTTCCTGCCTCAGTCTCCCAAAGTGCTGGGATTATAGTAGTGTGCCACCACACCTGGCGGCACCAAGACTTTTCACCACTTGGTAAAGTGAATGAAAAAAAGACTTGTCATTACATATTTATGGTTGTTAACATTTAAAGAGATAAGATGGATGATCATGTAATTAACAGAATTCAAGTGGTTGTTTTTCTTTTAATGTTTTAGCACTTAAGACTTAACTGAAGAATTTATTACAAAGTTTAAATGATCTGTACTACTGAAATTAAGATTTCTGTTGAAGAAATTTGGTCTTGGCTGCTGCAGAGTACTGGTATTTTGAAAGTAACCCATTTGCTCAGAGGAAATAACTTTTTTTGGGTAAAAACATTTATACCTAGTTATTTAAGACTTAAAAGAGTTTAATAGATGTCAATATTTTTCTTATCAGTAACTCTTTAAGTGGTTTGCACAAGCCCAAGGCTTCTGTGAATTAATGTATAGTATAAGTGAACTTTTGAAATAGAGTTGTTCTAATAACAATGGTTACATTTCAGAGAACTGTTTTAATGAGTGCTACTTAAGAGTATTTGGATGTTTGCAGCTACACAATCAGGACAAATGTCTGGGGAAGGTAAAGCTGGTCCTCCAGGAGGCAGTTCACGTGCAGCATTTCCACAAGGTGGTAGAGGACGGGGCCGTTTTCCAGGGGCTGTTCCCGGTGGGGACAGATTTCCTGGGCCAGCAGGACCAGGAGGGCCACCCCCACCTTTTCCAGGTAAAACTTTTATTAACTTACCAAGGATAAATGTGTCTACCTAATACCTCTTTGCCTTTTCTCTTTTTTTTTTCAAGTAATGTATGATTAATGTGACTTACTCTCCTTGTTATGCTATTTTTGGAATCCAGGAAATTTGATCAAGCATCTTGTTAAAGGAACTCGGCCTTTGTTCCTGGAAACTAGGATTCCATGGCATATGGGGCACAGCATAGAGGAATTATCCATTTTTGGCCTAAAAGGTCTTTATTTTTCTCCAAACTTGCTTGACTTATATATAGAATATTTACATCCGTCTTATTTTCTTATCTCTTAAAAAACCCTTTGAAGACCATTTTTCCTTGTTTCACTTTCTAGCTTGGCATCAGAGTAGAATATAAGGTGGGTGATTTCGATGTAGTGTATGTACGCTGAAAGATGGAAAATATCTAAGCATTGTAATTCTTAAGTATTTGTTTTCAGTAATTTTTCATAAGCATAAATTGAGCTATTTAAATTTATAAGGATATCCTTTACTTTATGGTTCTTAGTATAGCATTTACACTGAGTTTCATTTAAAGAAAGAATCTTGGTTTTTAAGTTATGCTTAAAAGTATAATTTTGGCTTGTAAAGGTTAAAATGTATTATTAAAGTTGTTTCTCTCTCTCTCTCCCCCTCCCTTTCCCCCCTCTCCCTCTCCC